TGCAGCAAGCAGACTATATACCTTTTGACCTTGAAGACTCCTACTATACTGCTATAAATTTTGGTTTCTTAAAACTGGGAAGTCAAAATGCCCTTTCATTTAGATAGTTACTGAGCTTAAATACCTAGCAAAATGAGATTTTGTTCTTTTTATTCTGCTTTGTGTTAGCAGATGATATTTTGTCATTCTGAATTTATGTGGAAAAATATTTGGAATTTTTTGCATCTCTGTCTTGATGTGTATGTCTACAGCTAAGTGTTATTTTCAGCACAAATATGTGGCCCATGTTAGCAGAGCTTTTTCCATGCCAGTGTTTGCCGAGCTGTGAAAAATGCAAAGTTCTCAGTGCAGCTTCTTTCAGAACCTGTTTTTTCACTATTTCAGCTTCAGCTTTGTGACAAACAAAGAATTGCTATGTGATGACAAACTAGAAGGATACCTTGTGAAACAAGGAAGCCTGATTTCTTGCAAATGCGTGTCTTACATTCACATTATGTTCACAAAACAGAAGACCTGGAATCAGAGTTTCCTTTGTGCCCAGTACTTCTTTGCCCACCAGCCCATGAGATGGTGTCATCAAGCTCCAACAGCCTCTAGCTATTGGCTGGAGAAAGCACCACCACGCTGTGGTGGGTGAGCAGCTGGCATGTGTTCACTGGGCAGATAAAATATACTGTTTGGTGAAACAGAACTATAATATGGAAATCTCAAGCTTTCCTTCTGTAGCGACAGTGGTTTTCCTCTTGAGCTGGCGATTTTCATAATTCTTGAGCTTTGTATCTTTGAGACCTCTACTGCTTGGTGAATCAAAGGTGATGAGTGGATCCGAAAGTCTTGGTGTTGGGGGAAGAGCTGCGTTGTTTCCAAAATAAGAAAAAAAATAAGAAGAGCATCTATAAAATGCAATGTTATCGTTGTTTCCAAAATAAGAAAAAAAATAAGATAAAGATAAGATAAAATGCAATGTTAGAAGCAGTTTTATGTTTAGTGAAAAAGTAAATTTGTGATATAGTTGAAAGGGAGCCTACCTAGGCAGTTCCCACTTCTTTTTTCTATTAAAAAGTGTGTTTTGATCTTTAAAACCTTCAAAACCGTACTTTGCTGAACTACATCCTGTGTAGAAGATACAAAAATTGTATCTGTTGAACAAACACCTGTTCTATAAATACTCCCTTAAGGGTTCAGAATCATGGAGTTTTCATCTCCTGTTCTTTAATCTGATTCTTAAGTTCTTCCATCTATTTAATTAAGCTTGCTCTGGCTTCAGCCTGTTTAGTCACAGGCAGCTTAAGTTAATGTACACCTCATCCACTGATGAACCAAAATTTCATGGCCACTTTATTTTGCTTTGTGGTCAAGATATTTAAGAGCCTCTTCAACTAAGAATAAAAATAAATAAATCATACTTATCTCTATTGAGTGAGCTAAATCGTGCCCTAGCGCAAGCAGTGAAACTCCAGCTAGAAGAGTGCTGGCTTTGATCCACGGGGATAGATCCTGTGCAGATGTGGTAATGGGAAGAATCTTGTAATAGTATAGTAGTTATGTTATTAATGTAAATTAATGTATTATTTTTGCAAAAGTGTACAGAACATTTCCACAGCAGAAGCAGATATGAAAAAAAGCAGCGACAGTTAGTTACACAGTTCAACTGATATTCTCAGTACTGAATTGGGGGAACCTTCTGTAAAGGAAAAAGAAATTTCAATTTCTATGTTACTTCTATTGCATTCAGGTTACCAAAACACGGACCAAATAATGAAACTGAATGAAATAACTTTTTGGATTTGAACAATAAGAACTGCATTATTTAATGATGATAATGTCTTTTACATGGCAATTGACCTGAACAGCATTTAAAGCTGTAAGCAGGAAGTTTCCATTCTTTATCCTGTGAAGATGAAGAAATATAGGTGTTTTATTTTACTGAGGCCTTGGATTTTATTACTAAAATCTTAAACCATTGAAACTTCTGTCTTCAGTATCAAGAGGATTAAAAAAAATAAAACCAAGAATCAACAAAAATAAATGTTTTATTTGGAATTACCTTTCAATAAAGATTACTGTAAAGATTACTTTAAAATGAAACACAGAACAAAATCCAAATAATTCATAAAAAATTACATTATTTTAAACAGTGAAAATTAAAATATTAATATATATAAACTAAGATTTTATGTGTAAAACTTTCATGTGGTAAATAATAAAAAAAAAATATATGTGGAATATTAAGACAATGAAGGAGTATGAGTTTGCAGCCCTAGTGACACCACCTATGGAGTTGTCCATGATTCAAATACAGACTCAGAAGTTGATTTTTATTTTTTACTTTAAGCGCTCATTCAGTGCAGGATAAAACAGTTAAGTGTTCTAACTTGAGAAGCAGCAGTGCAATCCAATGAAATACCTCATCAGTTAAGGTGCAAACTCTCCCCATTATTCCTTCTCTGGTTCATTGAATTTTAAATTATTTCCTCTGTGCTGTTATACTTGAAAGAAGGAAGAGAAAATACCTTTTCCTTTTCTCCTTTGAGGCCAGGTGGAGCAGTGTCCCAAGGCAGATGTGACTTTCAACCCTAACAAGCAAATTGATTCTGGTCTCTTCTTTGATAAGTGCTCTGCCTAGTATGCAAGGGGACATTCTCACTGACACCAACAGCGTCTTCACAAAGGTATTATAGAGGAAACACTATTTAGCACATTGAAGGGAAAGGAGTGAAAGGTGAAAGAAGGTCTGAGGCTGTGGATCCTAAACTGGAAGCATTTTCCTGTAACCCTAAACAAACAGCATTGTCCAGTAACTACAGGCAAGAGCTTTTCCGAGGAACTGATAGAAAGAGCTCTAACTTTTTGTTACACCCTGAGGAAGTCTATGTTGAGTAAAAAGATTCACACATGGCCTGTGCTTATTCCCCTAACTTCACTATCAGCCATTTCTATTTTTGCTTTAAAAATATTAGGAATAAATATGTGAAGTACTGTAATACTTATGAAGTATTATAATGGGGTTCACTTAACAGAGAATCTTGCATACTATAAATTGCAGTAAAACAAAAAATAAGACTTGTGTGTCACTTCCGTAAGTGGCAACTAAAAATACCTTTTTGAATGTAATGGAGTTAGGGAACTCTCCTGGTTTTTAATTTACTTTCAATAATTCATTAGCATACACTTTAACCTTAATCGCCAGTCCCCACGGGATTTGTGTGCTGTGCCAAAACAGATTTCTCATACGCAAAGTTAATTTTCTACAAATAACTTCCCTATTTTTCCTAATTCAGGAGCACCAGAAGGTAGCACAGCTTTGGTGATTTGATCTCGATACATAAGATTTCAGCACTCGTTTTAGCCAGCATTCTTGTGTATTGAATTTTCTTTTTTAGACTGCTAAATATTGGGTGTGACTTGCAGGAGGATATGATTCATTTTGATGGAACAGCTTCTAGGTATCTGTATTGGTGCTTATTAATTACTTTAGCAGAAGTGTTTTGTTCCTTCAGTTCCTCTTGAGGATTAAATACCACATAACATATGTTAGATTTTGGCAATCTTATGTTTACAGAAGTTTAAAAAATATTTTGAGCAGTTGTGCATGAAATTATTTAATATCCCTCATGAGAGGAAACGCTAACAATGTTAAACCCAAATACAACTGCTTTCTATGAATACTCTTTTCATATCTCATGAGAAAGTGCTGAATGGAATATGAAATTTCCACACTCCTTTGAGCTCTGGAAAATTGCACCAATAACAATACTTGAAAACAAATATTAAGAGAGGAAAATGTAATACTGAAAATGGTTGAAAATAACATGTATTGGCCCAGTTACAGTCACAAAATAGGAAAAAAAAAGTAAATTTTTTCAGAAGTATATCTAAGTTAAATATTTAAGAGCAGATCATAGTACAGAAATACAAATAGATTGAGAATGTAGCAAAACAGTTTCTTAAGTTTTCTTTCTTTACTGTTATGTCATTATAGAGATGATGAGTAATAGGCGCTAATTCCTAAACTAAACTGAAATGGCCTCTGAAGGGCAATTAGGAATTGCACTTAGAGTCTGTTTTCTCTCTCACAATTGCACAATTACTGTTTGTAGGAACAGCAGGGGCTAGTCTGGAGCCAGCGGGCTGGCCGAGGGGGTGGCATGTACCTGGCAGCAAGGGGGGGCCGCGCTTGTGCAACAGCTCGATGAACTCACCTCCCCTCAGAACCTGCGCAGGGCTGGCCATCCTTCCTCTCTTGTTCCTACACAATAAACAGCTGCTGCCCGTCCTTTGCCTTCCAGGACTGGCATAGTACTGTCTTCCTCTGATGTGAGGTTTAAGGGACTGGAGAAAAGACAATTGCCTCCATCTGTGTCAAACTGTGGAATCGTATCTTATTTCTCAGGTTTTTCCTTTCACCTACTGTTACTTCTAGTGCTGTTTTTATAGGGGACAAAACTCCCTCTAAAAGCAGAAAAGTGTTCCTGTCTCCCTTTTGCTCCCACCTGGATTCCTAGTTACTTACCTGATCCCATCACCCCGAAGACCGATTACTTTCCTTCCCAACATTCCTTAATAATTTGGAAAGTCAAATATACAGGTGAGTGACTTGCATCCTCCCTGGTAGCAGCAGTTTACATATGCATAATTGATTTGGCTTCATTTCATGCTTTCTGCTGCTGCACTTCAGGTGAGTTTGCAGTGCTCCCCTGCTCCACTATTTCCTCCAGCCAACAAGTACGAGACATTTCTGGAGCCTACCTTAGGAAGTCAATAAAATTTTCTTATTTTCTGTTTTACATATAACTAAAGAAGAAAATGACTTGTTATTGACAGCTGAGATTCATTTACTCATTTAAACCCAGTAGTCCACCTCTAGAGGAAGAGACTGCCTGACTATGGGCCTTCTCACTGTGACTTTTATTACCTTTTCCTTACTCTGCCTCATTCGTTCCTATGCGCAAGTGGTTCAAAGCGCATGCAGAGTAAACATCCACCTTTTTTACCCACAGACCTACCTACCTAGGACTACTTTTTTGAGACTGGAAAAGGGACCTTTGGAAAGAGAGCTTCATCATGGAAGGAGAAAGTGCTTGGAGGTTCTTCACAGGAGAGATGGTCTTGTATGCTGAGTGACCGGTGACACACTGAACCAGGATGGGTAAAAATGTAAGTGAAAACGTTCCATTTCTAAAGCTTCTTGCCCTTCTCAGTAAACTCCTTTTTCCCATTCCTTTCTTCTTGTATTTTCTCTGAGCACAAACTTATCTACGGGCTCCCAAGTATCTTTCCCCCTTTTATTCCACCTGATGACTTCTCTGTCACTGCCTCAGATGTGAACATTGCCGGTATGGCTTAGAGCTTTTATGACTCTCTAGATGTCTATTTGTGAACTGTGTCATTACTGAGCCAATCAGCATATTTCAGTGAAAGCTAATCAAATGCACAAGTTATAGGTACCTGTACCCCTGAATACTAAGCCCATGCCTGTGCTTCTCAACAGGAAGGAGGGTTTCTAAGAAGTGTTTAATGTAGAAATCAGCAAACTGTGTTTGTGGAAACCACTATTAGCAATTATAACACATTGTTTTCCTCCTCTGAGCTGCTGAAATTATCTGTGTGATCTTAAGCAAAAGGAGGTTATAGGCAAAAGTCATGTGTACTTTTAACTTTGCATAGGACTGAAATGGCTTTTCTAAATTTAATACTTCCCTATGGAAGAGTGACTTTGCTCAGTAGATTTGAACATTGTACTGATCTGTTAGGATAAGTCCCTCCCTTCCCAAATTCTTATGGTACGTGTAATTACCTTGCATCTCTTCATAGTTTTTTGTTGCAGGAGTAGCACTGTCAGATCTTTAAAGATCTCTAAATATGGAAGCTTAAGCTGAAATCTTAATTTGGTTGTATCCTGACTAATACCTGCTTCTTAATAGCACTGGTGCCGCAGGTTATACTATCAGTAAGAGGATTAATTTCTACTCTTAGGTGACTCTATGTAAGTTGTCAAAAGTCTGTCTTAATATTTTGTTTTCTTTAAAATAATCCAAAATTGGAAAACCAGAGTTGCAGAAAACTGTTAATACCTGGCTGGATTTCTCTATAGCTTTTGACAATTAACACTTAAGGCACAGATATCTGCTGTAGATTTGCTGTGTGATGATTTCCAAAACTGTTTCAGATCACTATATCCATTGTTCGTCATTACAATATGTAATCACAAGGAGCTACAAGGATTTATTTAATTTGAAATGCAGGAGTGAAATCACAGTAAAAATTCCTATAAAATTTAAATTATTTTCACTTTTTTTAGTGCCATTCATCTATTTCTTCTTATGAATCTGATCCTTTTTCACATGGGTACAACACTTGAGCTGTGCAGTGTTTCAACTAAGTCTTTGGAGAGGAAAAAAGAAAATGGCAAAACCAAAGCATCAGCATTTTAAGCACAGTCATTTAACACAGCAATTTCAATTTTCTGACTGTACAGCAAGACCTGTGATAAAATGAGTGATAAAATAGACTTCAGATTTTTATCTTATTGCTAAATAATGAGATCAAACTGTTATTGAAATCAAAGACAAAGTACCAAAGACTTGGTACTTGAGAAGAAAATGGGTAAACAGATGTATCTCAAACTAAATAAGTAATGTATTCAGAAGTCACAGGGCAAGGCAGAAGATACCTTACTTCTGGTTATTGTATGAAGGAAGGACAGTGGCTGGGAACACACTGGGGGCTACGTCAGCTTTCATGAGGCTGCTCAGTGCAATGAGAATGTCCCCGTTAGTGCTGGAAGCTCCAGGGTCACACTAAGGTTTGCAGGAGTTTTCCCAGGTGAAACTGCTGTCAGAAGTGAGTCCCTTACCTCTGTGTGCCCTGCATCTTTTGGCAGTGTGGCTCATAAGAGACTTACACTGGCCTGCTGTAAAAGGAAAGAACGTTTCTTCCCCTAATCTCTCGGTGAGTCTGTATACGTTTTCTTAAGTAAATATTGTCCTTTTTTTCTCTCCATAATGCACATATAGCAGTTCCCTTGTGTTGTCTTCACGCTTTTTTGGAATGATATAGCTGAGAGGGTTGGATTTCCTGTATATGAGCTTGGATGAGGTTATTTTCCAATTTAGGGGTTTTTGGCTTTTGTTCTTTGGCCTTCAGAAGGAAAATAATTTGTAGACAAACATGTGCACCTGGTGCTAAAACAATAGGTACTAATGCATTTATAAAGAGGGTGGAACTGGAACCCTCATACAGCAGGTTTCCAGGAAAGCAGTCAGCCATGACTAGTGCTACGCCAACAAAATAACTGTTTTGTTATTTGCACTTAGGATGATTGTTGAAAGGTTTTCCTTTTTTTTGCACTGAGTTTCAAAACAAACAGACCACGTAAAAGTATTACAGTTTTTAACTGCTGGTAGAGGCAATAGCTAAAGACAATCATGAATGAATAAAAATACTTCCTCCAAAACCTGTGTAAATTTCATTTTGAGGAAAAAACCATAAAGGTGAAAGCCCTTTTTTTTTTTATGCTAGAAAGAGCGAAGTCTTCTGAAATTTGTATCAAATAGACCAGGATTGTGGAAGTGACTGAGATATGAGTATAATTCTGTGATCAGTATCATTATGTGTTTGTCAAAAAAAAATTGAATCAAGTTACATTAGCACATTAACACAGTCTAGCCACGGCAGTTGCAGGCCTTCCATTTCTATGCATTGGAATAAAGTTCAAGGTGAATGTCATCAGACCTCATAATTTATCTTAGAGTTTCTGGATATGACATCTAATACTTTCACACCAAAACTGGAATGTTGATCTCATTTGTTTTCTGCATGCACTTTTCTATCATATGTATCTAACTCTAGCTAAAGTCTTACTCAAAAGCTGAATGGTAGTGAAATTCTGGGTGGATGTTATTTTAGAATATTTGGTTATGTTTTCATTTTTCTTTTTTCTTGAGCTATAGAACAATTATTCTCAAAACATAATCAGAAAAGACTGGAAGAAAATCCACAAAAAGGTATAAAAATACCATGAGAGACATATGATGAGTGGGTGGGTTTTCTTTAGAGTCCATCTGTAAAAATTGACATCCCACAAATATTTGTTAGAGGGAAGGATTGGGTCTGAGGTGTTCAGAGAAGATAGTTAATGGAATTGTGACAGTTTTCCACCAATTGGGATATGTTTCCAAGAACTATGTATTGAAATCTTAAAAGATCAGTATGTAAGAAAGTACTAGTACCTTGAGCAAAATAAGTGAATAAGAAGGGAATAAAAAGGGAAAATAAAAGCGAAGAAAAGGGACAGGTAGAATTAATTCCTTGATCCAATGCAGTATTTCAACTTATATTTAACTAAACTTAGTGTACCACTGCATAGGTTTTTTTTAAAGGAAAATATTCCAGATATTAAGAACATCCTACAGTTCTAAATGAAATACATTCCTGTACATGAATAGGTTTAAAACTTCATGTGACTAGAACTCCATGACACATCCTTTTTAATTTTATTCTGTCACCACTTACGTTTTGGAATTGCTTTCCAAGATAGTAGTAATTGGTACTAAGAAGATGACACTGTGGGCAGAGTTTGAAAATGTTCTTCTTTATAGTTGAAACAGAGTAAAGTGACATGGGGTTGTGCTAAATGTATGTTGAGAAAATTAAAAAATGCCACTTAGAAAAATGTTCTTTTTCAAACTCTGAGAGACTCAATGAGACTATTTTACAAAGGCATAATATGTAAATTTGAAACTTTTCTTCCTATGCCTACCATGTCCTATTGTGTTCCAACAGCAAAATAAAAGGTGTTTAAGGGGTTTTAAGGAATATTCTGGGGTTTTCTAAAATTGAAAATATCTTCCCAAATTGTTACCCCTAGTAGGCCTTCTGCAATTCTCTAGAAGTGAAATGTGGCTACTCTTGCTCCACCTGTCAGAGTGGACTGTAGGCGTGATGGTGCCATTGGGATCTGTTGCTGAAATAATTTCTTAAGAGGGATGGATTGTTATTCTTCCTACCTGTCAAGAAGAGGCCCCTAATGCCTTAGCAACTCTCAGTCCAAGCTTTAGCCACTTACTGGAGCCAACACGGTAAGATCTATGCCCTGTGAAATAATACTGGATGCTTTAAGGAAAAGGAGGACTAGTGGAGTGTTAATGAGGAATGAAGAAGCCACAGTGAAGAAAAACAAACGTATGAAAATTAGGGAACACTGAATTAGTAAGGAATTAGTAAGGAACACCTTGTAAGAGACCTCAGACAGAGGTGTGAAACAAAGGAATAGGAGAATGGAATATGTATTCTGGGACTTCTACCAGTTGTGAACAAGAAATAAGAAAGGGGAAACCTGGAATAAAAACTTGAAAGGGACCTGCTAGTAGGAGGAGACCAGAGTTTCTGAAGGGCGAAAGTCAGCGTAGAAACGTGTTTCTGTGTGATCAAGTGAGGAACAGAATGGTCAGTGAGGGGAAACAGATTTCAGCCAGGATGGGGAAATTGATCCGGCAAGTTTGAGTGGGGATTAATTTTGTTTGGCTGTGGGTAAACCAAATCAATTCATAAAGACTTGATTGTGGGTTGAATTGATGCTGATGGTGCATGCACTAAGTAGTGTTGAGTTACAGGGGGAGGTATTTGAATATGTATGTCAACGTGAGGGGAATTGACTTTGACTGTGGAGGACAAAGTGACTGAGAATTGATTTTTATTGTGGAAGGAAATTGATCCAGAGAGAGGGGGAAAATCAGTTTGATTTGTGCGTAAGGAAAGTTCCGACAATGGTAGAGAACTGATGACAGAGGAAATGGACTTTGAATTTGGTCATGACGTGATTTTGAACGGGACATTTGTAGCAGTTGATAAGTGTCCTGCATGAGATAAGATTATATGTCTGTTCTGTGAGATGGCACTAGTAAACTTCCAGTCAGAAGATCAGTAATTCATATTTGAGTCAACAACACTAGTTTTTGGAAAGCAGCATTGACAAAAAAAACCCGCCGAAAAACCACACATACTGGAGTGCTAAGATAAAGATAATTAATATGTCTGAGAGCTCTAGTGCTGCAGTTCTAGTACTGGTTTTGTCTTTTACTCATTCAAGTCTGATAGTTCTGGCATAAAAATGGGTAGGAGCTGTATCTTGAATCATTTAGGTATATTCACACTGT